TCCCAGAATTCCCCAGCAAGCATGGTTGTCTGGGGAATTCTGGGAGTTGAAGTCCACTCATCTTAAAGTGGCCAAGTTTGGACAACACTGTTCTAACGGATCAATATGGGCCAGATACTTTGGCTGCCTCAAAAGCACCTGAGATGATTTCTTATACGATGGAATCCATGACAGAATTAAAACCTATAACGTTTCTCTATCAAAAGCCCAGGAATATTTTTAAAGCTGACATCTCTGGGATATTTCCACCAGGGACTAAAGAACTGGAATCTCCAACAGAGGTCCATCAATGGATGAATGTCCATAAAAATGTTCAAATGGTATCAACAAATCTGAGATTAAAGTTATTTCATCAAAAATTGTATTGAGTGCGTAGTACACTCCCCAAAGAATGTATCAGAAAGGATGGACATCAGAGTTTCTATGTTGGAGGTGTAAAAAACGTGCAGGTTCACTGACCATATCATATGGTCATGTGATCATTTGATATCTTTTTGGGGTAGTGTATTAATGTACCTAAGTAGATTTATGGGAAAATCGTTAAATGTTAAAGATGTTAATGCAATGTTGATCTATATACCAAAGGTTTGGAATCTGACTTTTTATCAGAAATTATGGTTATGTTGAAATTCGGGCAGTGCGGGGTGGCTGGCTAAAAGAATCACATTGAGAAATTGGAAAAGTGGTATTATTCCAGATGTTAAGGAATGATTGTTGAAAATATGTGATCGACCTGATTTGGAAATACAAAATATTTTCTGCTAATCAAAGGAGACAGCAATGTGTGTTTCTATGGCAGAGATGTGATATTTTACAATAGCATTTGTGCTGATTATATTATACCAGTGTATTTATTCATAAACCAGTGGCTATTGAGAAGTATAAAATATAAGGTAGATTTTTTTCTCTTTTTCTTTTCTTTCTTCATTTGTATTTTTAGTTTGTTTGGTGGTGTTTCTTTTCTAATTTTTCTTCTTTGTTTTGGTTACTATTAATTTTGTTTTCTTTAAGTTTAAAAGTTGTTTTGTTAATTGTGTATGTTAGAATGTTAAATAAAATTTTTTTAAAAATTTGGAGAGTTATCCCAAGAACCTGCACTTCACATTTTGAAGAGAAAGTTTCCAGTCTTCACTATTAAATCAAATGGTAAATGAAAACTGACTTAGAAACCAAGTAACATCTGTAACAGACTTTTGGGGGGGGGTGAAGGGGGTGTCACAGTGCATGGGAGTGGAACAAAGAACCACATTTCTTTCTCTTCCAACTGTTGTAGATGAATTGCGTTCCACCCCCCTCACCCCCCGCCAATGGCAACTACCTTCCTTGTCTGTAATACCAAAATATCCCCACAAAGAGAAAAGGCAAGAAAACAAAATATTGGCACGGTTTTTCCCTTGGGATGACCAAATCTCCCAAGGTAGTAAAGGAAATCTGGAGTGTTTTCTCAAGATAGCCCCATTTGCAAACTCAGTCATGGGGCTGTCCTTGCCAGTCAGTAAGGGCAGAGAGAGGGAGAGAGAGAGACAGACCTCTTCTTGTTAGGAATAGTCCCTGGGGAAACTGTCACATTAAAAAAAAGTGTTTCATAGTCACAAGGACTTCTAAACTTTACCAGGGGGGCTCTTATGTTTTTTTAAAAGGTGAGAATTTACCCGTGTATGGAATCTAGCATTTTCCCGTATATTTACCTTGATCTTGACATCCTTTGGAGCAAGTTTCTTCACTTCACTGAGCAGTCGGTCCCCAAAACCTTAAGAGTTGAGAGGCAAGTTAACACCCTCTAAAGCAGCAGATCAGATGCTTCCCCAGAGAGGAGGTGAAACAGCTGCAGCACTAGCGCTGGGCACCATTCAGGGCATTCCAGAGGTTTAAAGCAATGGCCTCTGACCCTGCTGCCTGGAACTCAGGGGAGCCGAAGTCCAGATCAGCAGGATGGCACCCAGCTGTAGTCACACCTATGCACATCTTTCTGAGAAAAATCCTGAAAATAATTTTGGAGGGGGGCATTTTAGTTGTGGCATCCCATTTACAGAATGCCCTTCCCAGATCTGCCAGGAGCCATCCTTAATGCTGACACATCAAATGATTTTTTAAAAAAATAAGCGAGCAATTAATAAATACCACTTTTTATTATCCTGTTTTATTGCTCGATACGTTTAGGCTGTTTTTACTACAGGTAGTCCTCGAGTTAGGACTGCAATTGGGACCAGGATTGCCATTGCTAAACGATGCTGTCATAAAGCACGTCACATGACCGCATCGCTTAGCGAAGGCAAACCAGGCAGTCCCAGTTGTTGTAACCCAAGACGTGCGGTCGTTAAGTGGGAAGAGATGGGAGTCCCAGGTAAGGAGAACGGGGGTGCCGCAGGAGGTGCAGGAGACCCTGAGAGGCCCAGTGCAAGCTGTGCTGACTTGGGACAGTGGGGTGCTGTGGTGTGGTACGAGCACAGGAAGACTGGGGAAGGAGGGCGCAGGGTGCATGCAAATGCAGGGAGGCCAGGGAAGAAGGGTGCTGGTGGATGCGTGGGAGCAAAGAAAGGTGGGGGTGGGGAAGACTTGCCACTTGCAACCTTTCCTGCCAGCTTCCCATTGACTTTGCTTGTGGGAAGCTGGCAGGGAAGGTCGCAAATGGTGATCACATGACAGCGGGATGCTGCAACCATCATAATCACTTTGTGTGAGATGGGCAGCTATATAAATGTGACATGTAAATAAATAAGTGCAAGCCAGTTGCCAAGCGCCAAAATTTTGTTCACATGACCGTGGGGGTGCTGCAATGGCTGGAACTTCGAGGACGGGTTGTCCCTGCATTCAGCGCTGTTGTAACTTTGAATGAATGGTTGTAATTCGAGGACTACCTGTAGTAACTTAACTTCATCATTTTTAAAAAACTTATTTGTACATACATTTGGATAAGCATGCCTTCACACACACACATTCTCTCTCTCTCATTCACACACATATTTATAATCACTTGGAATATTATTTATAGAAAAGCAATGGCCACATTATAAATAAAATAAAATTGGCATCTGCTGATAAGGGATGTTTTGAGAAATGCCGATTTCAATGCAATCTAGTAATAAATAGGAAGTTATTTTTCATCTTTTTAGCAAACATGCCTCTCCATTTTCTCACCTTCAGAAACAAGCAGAAAAGCTAAGTGATGCCAAAAGCTCCATCTGCCAAAAATCTCTCAGTGCCTGCGATCACTCCTCTATTTTCGTTCTCTACATAAAGGATTAACGTTCTAGTAGGAAAACTACCCTGTGTCACAAACCCCACTTTCCTCATTCTAACTAAATTGATCTCCACCTCCCTTCCATTTCCATTTCCATTCCTTCAGAACATGAGTTTACCAACCTAATATTCCAGATGCATTACTACCCCAATATTTAAATATTTCTTCAATATTTCTGGTCTCTTGGATATATACCTTGTCTGGGAGAAGTAAAAACTGCACATCCCCTTCCAACCAATTTTTTGGGAATGCAGAACTAAATTCCTTTATCAATACCAGCAGAACGTACCTCCTCTACATCAACTGAGTACCTTTAAAGAGCGTAGATCCTCCAGACAAGACAATGTTCCCAAACAGCGTCCGCCTCAGGTCCATGTCAGATTTCTGGATGGCAAACACCAGCACTTCGTGGATCCCTTCACTTTCATCTCCTATTAGGTCTGGTTGGAAAAGCAGCTCAGGAGCTCGGAATCGGGATGGGCCAACCTGTCAGAAAACCCACAGGGTCAACTCTGCTCCAGCAGGACCACTTAGCTACAACATTCGTAAGCCAGCAGCGGGTTTTTTCTGTGGGTGAGAGAAGCTGAATCAACCAGACTCCGGTGCATGGCTAGAAACTCAGAAAGCTTTTCTGAAAATCATTACAGTGCTTCTCTTGCAAACGGAAATGGGAAGCTTCAGAGGCCTCACTGCCACATCTCAGGAGCAAGACATATTTTTAGTTCAGGAACTTACATCTAAAGTGCTTCCGTCAGGCAGCGTGTACTGCACCTTCTCTGTCTCTAGGGCTTCGTCCTTCTGAGGGTTGATGGACAGGTAGCAAGCTCTCTGCAGGGAGGAAGGAAGCATGTGAAGCACCTGAACTGGCACTGGAAGCCACTGGCTAGAGAAGCTCCTCAGAGGTCCTCCGAGCCAGGCCCTCTGAAAGCCGGTGGGAGGCCACAGTTAACCCTCTCCTCCACTACTCTACCGTGGCACCAGGCAAGATCCTGCACCATCTCATACCAAAAGCCTCTTCCAAGTCTGCTGGGCTTCCTCATCTCCACATTAATTTTCAAACCATCTACCTCTGACGAGCTCAGCCATGCTTTGTGTGTGTTTTATCTTATTTCATGGGCACATGCCAGTTACTTAAGAAGCCCAACTCAAATCAAAAGGGCTGTTTTTGTCTCTCTCGGCCACTTCACAGATAAAGAGGTTCTTTGAAACTTCCACTGCAAGAGCTCCTCTTGCTGAAGGCGGCAGCTTTGAAGCTCAAGAACAGCTTCTGCCTTCTTCAGTGTGTGATGGACACTTCAAAGAAGCCACCTGCTCACCAGCAGCTTCCAAGACAAACTGAAAACCACAGCCACCGGCTTAACACCATCTCCAGGTGAAGCTTTCCAATTGTTTCCATCTTCCGTAAGACGTTGAACACTTGCATTTATCAGCACACAATAGCAGGGAATCCCATCCCAATTCCTATGAGGGCAAAGAGCCCCCATGACCCACGTATGTCCACTCTCCCTTGACCTTACCTCCTTTATTGTCTTGACCACTTCAAACTCGGCTGAGGTGTGGAAGTCATAGCCCTCTTTCCGTAGCAGCAGGCGGAGGTAACGGGAGACATCCCGTCCGGCAATGTCAACCCGCATAATTGAGTGGGGCATGGCAAAGCCCTCATAGATGGGCACTGCATGCGTCACACCATCACCAGCATCTAGCACGACTCCCGTGGTGCGGCCTGTGGCATAACTGGAAAAGGGCAAAGGGAGATGAGGAGGTCAGTCCATCAGGCTAAGGAACCAAGTGGAAAAGGTCTTGGCCTGGCTTAGTTTCATTCAGGATCTGTTAGTCCTTCACATCATGAGACGATTCCCAAAACAATGCATTTTCAGCAGGGTATCTAAAACAATGGGACTTGTGTTTTCTACTTTTATTATTTCTCCTACCTCTCAGCCAAAGTTCTCACTCGAGGCACAAATGACCAGGCTCAAATTACAGTATCCATGGGGGCTGGAGCCTTGGATCGTATTGCCCCTACATCGCCTCTCCCTGTGCACCGATCTCAGGCTGCACCTTGGTTTACTGAGAGCTCCAGGAGATGAAGTGCCAGAAGAGACACCTGGAGCACCACTGGAGGATTTGGAGCAAGTCTGACCAAATACCGGTAAGAGCCCACGTCAGGGATTACTTCGTGGCAGTGGGGGGTGCATGTGAAATGTAATATTTCTCCACCCTTACTGTGTCCACTGGTAGCCATTCAGCAGCCCTAGCAGGATCATCCGGTCCCTACCAGGCAGGGGCAGGCCACGGGACCATCTGCAGGGCCACTATGAGGAATATTTTGACTGTCTGGCAGGTAAAGTCACTCAGATCCACTCTAAGTTAGACTCCAACTGGACAACTCTTGCCAAGGGGCCCGGGGCTTGGTCTGTGTGATCTGGCATGAGTTGGAAGTGGTGACTCCGGAGGAGGTGGACAGGGTTTTCGCGCTGTACGTTCCACTGTTTGTTGGACCCAGGCCCCTCCTAGTTTGTGAGGGAAGGTGACCTCTGGTTGGGTCCATCCTGTGGTGTCGGTCTCTGTGAGGGAGGGGGTTGTGCCTCTGTCTTTGAAAAAGGTGGTGGTATGTCCCCTTCTCAAGAGGCCATCCTTGACCCAACCATCTTGGACAACTACCATCCTGTCTCTAACCTTCCTTTTTTAGGGAAGATTGTTGAGAAGGTGTCAGACTGCAGTTGGGGGGAACCCTGGGGGAAGTGGATTATCTTGACTGGAATAGCGTTGAAGGGTAGGAGTGGGGAAAGGCAGCAACTTCCAGAATAGAAAGATGAAGAACCGACAGCTACTCTGATCCCTTGAAGAGCTGACAGGTTGGGAATTGTGGGCGCCGTTTTACAGTGGTTCTCTCTCTTCCTACGGGGCCAGTTCCAGTCGGTGCTGGCTGGAGTGGGGAGGGCAATCCCTAGGCCTGTCCTTTGTAGGAAGCCGCAGAGTTCCATGCCCCCTCCCCCTCCTATTCAACATTTACATGAAACCGCTGTGTGAGGTTATCCGCTGGTTTGCATTTCAGTATCATCAGCCATCATCATTGTCAGTCATGAATTTGACCCCCGGCTGGCCAAGTGAGACAGTCAGAAGTCCTGTCCCAATGCCTGGAGGCTGTGTGGGCCTAGAAGGGGAGGAACCATCTCCAGCTCAATCCTACCGAGTGGCTGTGGACATTAGGGCCATCTGGTTCCAAGGATATTCCAACTTTAACCATGCGTGGGTTTGCACATTCCCCATTCAAGGCTGGTGTACAATCTGGAGGTCTTCTTGGACTCACCTCTCCTGCCCAAGCTTCATGTGGTATGCCAGTTGTATACTTTCCTGGATTGGGAGGCCCTTCAGTCAGTCACTGATACCCTAGTCACCTCTTGGCTTGACTACTGAAATGTGCTCTACATAGGGCTGCCCTTGAAGACCACATGTGAAGCACAATGTGACTTCAGAGACTGCAACCATCGTAATTGTGAGCCAGTTGCCAAGCACCTGAATCGCAATCACATGACCACAGGGACACTGCGATGGCCACAAGTTTGAGGACCGGTTGTAAGTCCCCCTCATTCAGCGTCATCCTAGCTTTGATCACTGAATGAGTCATTGTAACCCAACGACTACCTGTATTTTGTTTTTTATTATCACACTGTATTTTTATTGTTTGTAATACTGTGAGCTGCCCAGAGCTGTTGGGTGGCGCCTAAATTTAATTCATTAAATTAAACACTTTTCCTACCAAGACCTGGGCCTTTCCAGAGAATTTCTGTCTCTGAAATTCTATTCAAGAGAACATACAAAGCCAATTGCACTGAAGCTCAGAGATGGGAGGTCACTTCTCATCCAGCCAGCCTCCACTTCCGGCAGGTGGAAACTTACAGACTGAGGACAGCTTGCATGGAGATGAAGAGAGCAGGAACATTGAAGGTCTCAAAGAAAACTTCTGCAGCCTTCTCCCGGTTTTTGCTAGGATTTAGGGGGGCTTCTGTCAGGAGAACAGGATGCTGGAAGGAAAAGAGAGGGTCTACATCAGTTCAGAAAACTGACTGATTGTCTGAATGTCTACAAGCACCTTTTCCCATCAGTCATCCTCCAGACACTGAAAAGTGCCCCCAACCCAGTAAGAGGCCACTAGAATTGGCAGCAAAGCTAATTCTATTCACTTTTCTAAGGACATAATGTGATACACAGCATGAAATGTTAAGGAACTCTCTAGTAAACAATGTTTTTCACAATGCTATGTTCTTCAGGAACACGTTTAATGGAACCCAGGGCTCCTCTGGTAACTGAACCACCTAGTGACAAAGCAGGCTTACATTATAGCAGGAAGTAGGAACTACAAGGCTCTGGAGCCCCTCCCTTCACCACAAACGTGGCTTTCCACCCCAACCGGTTAAGAACCTAACAGAAGATCTCTAAGGCTCCAACTCCTTTATCCCTGCTCTATACAGCTATGTCTCTCCTGCACCTTCTCCAACTTGGTCCCCTCTGGATGTATTGGACAACAACTCAGTTATCTTGGGGCGCTGCATCATTTCTTCCATGCAAAAAAGGGCTTACAGCATCAATTCTAAAAATACTAGAAAATAAAAATAAAGACTGATGATTACAAATCTACACCTGATCTCATCCATGTGACCTAGCAGGCACACATACACACATACAGCTGGTCTCAGCAATCTGAACGTTTAAAAGATGACCGGCAACACTGCATTACCTCTTCTGAAAACGTCTGCAGCTGGTCTTTGGAATAAACATACTGCCAGATTCTCTCCATGTCATTCCAATCCCGGACAATGCCATGTTCCATGGGGTACCGGATGGATAACAACCCTCGGTGCTCCTGTAGGAGAAAGAGGAGGAAATCTGCCACAGGGGATGGCACCAGCAGCCAGAACGTGAACCCCATCATGGTAACGATGTCCAAAATATCTTTCCCAGATAACAGGGCAAGACTCTGCCCTGGGCATTTCCCCCAGACCTGCAACAAGGACGGCGTCCAACTGCTAACGGATTCGAGCATCTATGACACAATATTAAGGTCTGAGCCTGTTGGGCCTAAGGAAGTGGACAGGGTCCTCATGACTGTGAGCTCAGCCACCTGTTCTCTAGATCCAGGCTCCGCTTGGCTAACGAAGCAGCCCGGGTGGTGTCATGTGAGTGGGTTCTAGCGGTGGTGAATTCTTCCTTGGGTAAGGGGGTAGTTCCTTCACCTCTTAGGGAGGCCTTGGTGTACCCCCTCATCAAGAAACCATCGCTGGACCCCACCATACTGGACAACTTTTGCCCAATGTCTAACCTCCTCTTCTTAGGGAAGGTTGCAGAGAAGATGGTTATGCCATAGCTTCAGAGGATCCTGGATGAAGATTATCTGGACCCCCTTCAGTCAGGATTCAGGCCTGGGTGTGGGGCAGAAATGGCACTGGTCGTGCTTTCAGATGATCTCTGGTGGGAGTGGGATGGAGATTGTGCACCCATCCTCACCATGCTTGACCTCACAGGGACCTTTGATACCAATGACCATAGTATCCTTCTGAACCGGTTCTGTGGACTGGGGGTGGGCGACACTGTGTTGTGCTGGTTCTCCTCCTTTCTCCAGGGTCTACCAATCGGTGGTGATGGGGGGAGAGATCCCGGCCTCGGCCCCCACTATGTGGGGTGCCGTGAGGTTCGGTGCTCTCTCCTCTCCTATTTAACATCTACATGAAGCCGTGGGTAAGCTCAACCATCAGCATGCTGATAATACCCAATTATACATCTCTGCCCCTGGCGAATTAAGCAATGCTGTTGATGTCTTATCCTGGTTCCTGGAGGCTGTGGGGGTCTGGATGGGGAACAACAGGGTTCAGCTGTTCCCTGGCAAGAGTGAGGGGTTCTGGGTTTTGGGCCTGCCAATCCTGGGACTATACTATCTTTGGTACAGGATGGGGTTGCACTGCCCCAGACAGACCCGGTGCGCATCTGGAGTCTTCCTAGACTTGCAATTTTTGCTTAAAGAGCAGGTGGCAGTTGTAGCTAGGAGGGCCTTTGCACAGCTTTGTGCTGTGCACCAGTTTCGCCTGTTCCCGGATCGGGAGGCTCTGCTCAGTCACTTATGCCCTGGTCACTCCCCGATTGGATTACTGTAATGCACTCTACGCGGGGCTGCCCTAGAAGAGTATCCAGAAGCTTCAGCTGGTACAAAATGCGGCCCTGCAGGCAGTTACGTGTACACCTAGAATGGCACACATTACACCTCTGCTTTGCAAGCTTAACTGGTTGCCAGTTTGCTTCCGGGTCCAATTCAAGGTGCTGGTTCTGACCTTTAAAGCCCTTTACGGGGCCGGGTTATTTGAGGGACCGCCTCTTCCCGATTCCATCTGCCCGTCCCATCAGATCTGGCAGAAGAGGTATGTTGTGAGTCCTGTCTACTAAGAAGTTACACCTGGCAAGACCCAGGAGACAGGACTTTTCTGCTGTGTCACCCACCTTATGGAACACCGTCCCCCCTGGACTTTTGATGGGGACAATGGCGGCTTAATCAACTCTCCGTGAGAGGGTGTGATGGAATGGAATTATGAAGGCCGAGGTCAGGGAGACAAACATTTTCTTAGCTCACCAAAACCGCGTGGGAGGAACAAGAGGATGAGATTGGCACCTCCCTGAGGAATTCACACTGTTGT